TTCAAATACCAAAATGGCAACAGTAACAGAAAGACTTCCCTGGCGGCGATGATAACATACGAACACGGAGTCAACAGATGAGGTTTCAACTGGTACTGGTATTATTATACTCTGCAAACATCAAGTACAATAACGCGGTAAAACTCCAAACCTCCAATAACTAGATACTTAATCTCCAATACAATTCAACGAGATCTCCAATCTGATCTCAGTGCTGAACAACTCCCCTATATATACTCACACTGTCTATAAATAGACCATTACATCAGCATACATAATGAGTCTGGAACTTACTACAAATTTCTAGAATGTTCCATTACCTTCTATTGCCTCCTACAGTGTTCTATTACCTATTCAACCAGTTTCTAAAAATTCCACCCAGACACAGTACAGTTCTAGAACATTCTCAGTCACACGGAAGTGGTAAACAAGTCGTATGCGACAGTCAGGATCATTAAATTTTGAGTTATTAGGGTCTGCTGGTTGTCGTTGTTACTACACCTGCCAACAACACAGCGTTTCCCCATGATAACGATCGTGGTAACTCGTTTTATATGATGGTAACTCGTAAGAATTCTCGATCGTGGTAACTCGTTGTATATGTTTACTAAACGCGTGCGTATGGAAAATGATAAACAATCCTGTCTGCTAGCTAGTTCATGCTTTATGCTCCCGTTGGTGGCGGCATTTCGGCTACACTTGTAATGCCGAAAAAACTCGAAGGTGACTGGAGAGGGGCGTGGCCCGATTTCGGAATATCATTGACTGTTTATGTTTGCCCAATTTATATACCATTTTCACTTGATTTTGTTTCATAATGTTGTTTATAAATAAATTTTGCACAAAAAAGTAAATTGTCCCAATTCTGTTACACTTTAACAATAAGTCATTGTACTTGAAATAGTTTATCTACTGTTATTGTGCATATTCAGCTTTATAATTGAAATTGTATGAACTGAATAGGTCTTTAATCACTTTGTTTTACTCTTTATTTAATGGGCACATACATGTATGTGTTGAAATTAAGGACTGAATATTTAAATTCTGATTTGATTTTCTTTGACTAGGAAGCTCCTAAGATCACATTTAGTGCTGTGATACCAACTATTTTAGTGTCTCACTTTACCGGACTGTTGCTGTTCTGGAGCCCGGAAACCTGTGCCAGATGGGCGCATGTGTTCTCACTGGTTACCATGGAAGCTGTAACCACCGGATTATTAGCATATTTTATTGGTGCTACATTTTTACCTTATCTCACAAGAAGGTAAAGTTAATGAATTATTTATACAATTCATGACATGTTGTATTGTAGTCCATTTTGAAAAAACATACACAGTTAAAATATAAGTTAAACAAAACATTTGGAATGAACACTGGCAACACCTCCAAGCATGGAATACCTTGTTTTTTAGTTGTTCCATGGCTTAATCCCTTTAGCAAATAAAAGAAAATGCTCAGTTCCTCAATGATCAAATGACCAGCCAGCAACTAACTGAAAATATTGCTGCTGTTACCGGTACTGTAATTGCATTAATTATTCAGAGAGAGATTTTTAATTTTCCTGATATATGAAATCCGCCATTATATATTGATGTGAACTGACATGTGTAATTACCATAAAACATGTGAAATTAGAACTATTGAGTAGTGAGTATGATCAAAATAGTGAAATTATGTACTTAGTGAAAATATATAGTTAAGGTTAGCAACTAATCTAATAAAAAGACCCTGTTCATCTATGTGTCCGTCTGTCTGTCTGCACATGTGTTTTGAACATGCCTAGATTGTTTTTGTTCAAACTTTACACGCACAAACATCACATATGTACCTGAATTTGTTTTGTGATTTGGTTCAAGATTGACCAATGGACGGATGGTTCAGTCCTAAAAATTACTGCAATTCCAAAATCAGATCCTACCTTGGTCCTGCTTTATCTAATTTCATCCCAACTCGGTATATACACTGGGCATACTATGACCTGAATGATTTTGTTTGTCAGATTGGAATAAAAATGACCAACTGGTGAACATTTTATTTTTATGTTTTTTGACATGCTTGGACTGATCACATTAAAATTTAATACATGCATAACCGGTATATACCATGTCACATATGTACACATCCATTAAGACAATTGTTTTACAATCTGATTCAGGATGCCCAACTGGCATCAATTTAAAACAAATCATCAAAATCAAGCTTTTCCACCATTCCAGAACTGGATCTCAGTTGTGCATATTAAAATTTTGTTCAAACTAGGAACATACATTCAACATGATGATACAATGTACTTTGGGGCATGTCATTTGGTTTTTATATACGACTCCAAACAGCCGACTGCTGGCCATTTTGTAATCAATGCTATTCTCTTGTAAGGCCAAAAAACAAAAAAACAAACTTATGTTGCCCTGAAATTGAAAATTGAAAAAATTAGGTCGGTTGGTCGGATTTTTTTTTCTTTCTTTTTTTTTAACTCGTGAAAACTAAGGGTATCGTAAATAGCCGAGGTATAGGGAAAAAAAACGCGATCCGATATTTCATATTTTTCGGTCGGGTCGCCAAGGGCAACAAAACAATTTTTTTGGGGGCCTAATAGGACATTTATATAAACTTACATTGAAAACTAACATGGACTGCCATTTCATATTTTGAGAATCAAAGTCAACTTCAGACATCATCTACAAAATGCTCTTTTTAACATTAAAATTTCAAATTTTTTTTATCACTAACTTGAAGCAATTCACATATCACGTTTTGTTTAAATAAAAATGAATTCATTGAAAATTACAAAAAATGTGAACAAATATTGACCCTAATTTGAGCAGAAAAAAAATATTGGTGCTCAAAAGATTGAGGTAAGTCAAATCTCCACAAAATGAACTTTTTTTCACATATTTTTTTTAATATTTTTACATATGAACAATGTAAAATTTAACATTGTCGGCTTCACCTGCTTCACTACATACTCTCCTGTTTTCAGGTCAATTTCTAGGGCTGAACCAGAAGCTAAAGATGAACTCCTTGCCAGCTGGCCATTACTGAAATGCCTTGGGTTGATATGGCATGGTGTTCTAATGGGTGGACTTGCTATGATGAACTTCTCGTTGGGATACTTGTTAACTTTGGTAACTGTGCCTGTTTATTGCTGTGTCAAACCAACTAATAGAAGGTATAGTTCTCACCATAGAAAACAATTGCTATGTTCACACAACAGCATTCTATCGAGTCAAACTACTACTCCTCCTATCAATTAACAGGAAATTATCTTCAATGCATTTACATGGTTGGGCTGAACGAAAGCTGAGATCCGCCCGAGTTCAATCCAGTTTGTTCAGAACAGCCCCTCAATTACTTAGTATGAAAACAACCTTGCTGAAAATGATTTTTGTGCCATGCTTGTGTTGTTGTTTCTTTACATGGCACGATGCATGCAGAATATACTCTCCTTGAAAAACAGGTACACTCAAAGTAGACGAACAATGATGCAGCAAATGATTATTGCCCAACGTCACTGTCGAACAGCTCTTATTTTTGCAATCATTGGTGCTACCATTTGTTCATCTACAGTTGTTCGCACAGTTTGACAACATACACGTAGTAGTCGTTTGTGGGACGAGATAGTTTCGTTCCAATCGCTGGGCTCAAATAATATCTTTAACTTGATATTTCAAAACCAGCTTGTATTTGCTAAAATTCCACTCACAAACCTAAGACTTGCTTTAGTTATTCTGGTATATTAAATCAAACAAAGTTTTGAATTTGAAAGGAGATTGAGCATGTTATCTTGCGTAGCCAGTGATCATGATTTTGTGATTGATGTATCAACAGAGAAACATGCAAGTGGGTATTCTGCTTAGGCAATTAAACAACAACATTACCCTTAAACTGTGATATTCCAAATACACTATCACCTAAATTATACAATTATTTACAACATATGTACACCATGTATAAAAGAGCTGTTTGTGTATTAGGGATACAAACATGCTGCATGGTAACTTTACTTGTAATGATTTCATTCATTCTCTGAATTTAAAGGAAAATTTAAATTTAAAAATTGAAATTAACGAAAATTATGTCATTTCTTTATAGAGAAATATTTAACATGGTATTCATTTGTACTTTGTCACAGGATTCATCGTCTTATCCAGGCTGTCTTGGTGTTACTTGTGAGTCCAATGTCTCTTTTGTTTATATTAATGTTGTTTTACCACACAACTGTACTTGAATCTACCGATGTATGGACATTACTAACAGATGCCGTATACACTTCGAGATCGGCGTTATTTGACTCAGTTGTTAACAGTTACATACATGGTAATTGGACGTACCCGCTAGCCGCTCTTCTTATTTTCCCAAACTGGCTGATGTTTTGGAGCGTACTATGGCAGAATCCATAGTGTCTGTGTGTGAACTGTCTATGGGGATATTACGGACACGCTAACTTGGTTTACCGAGACAAATACTGTAACAATACTAGCATGTGAAGTGGTCTGCGCATGACACAATTTCATTGGTATCTTGTTAGAATGATAATAATAGTTATATTTTAATTGTGTACCAACTTTCGGATAGTACAAAATTCTGATTTTGCTGTTTTTCATATTTTTAGCTCCGCTGTCGACTTTGTCGAGTGGAGCTTATCATATGAGTGATTGTCCATCGTCGTCGTTGTCCGTGTCAATGTTTTATTTTTTCGACTTCTTCTTGAAAACTACAAGCCTGAATGCTTTGATACTTGGTGTATATGTACCTTGGGTAGACCTCTCTTAGGTTTGTTCATTTCATGTTGATATCTTCAATTCTCTAATTTTGGTGAATATTTTTGTCATTTTTGGTAAAAAGTGATATTTTCGACTTCTTGTTAAAAACCGTAAGTCCGATTGCTTTGATATTACATATATAGGTACTACATGTGGACCTCTCTCAGATTTGTTCATTTTGTGATGATATCTTCAATTCTCTAATTTTGGTGAATATTTTTGTAATTTTTGGTAAAAAGTGATATTTTCGACTTCTTGTTAAAAACCAATAGTTCAATTGCTTTGATATTACATATATAGATACTACATGTAGACCTTTCTCAGATTTGTTCATTTTGTGATGATATCTTCAATTCTCTAATTTTGGTGAATATTTTTGTCATTTTTGGTAGAAATTGATATTTTCGACTTCTTGTTAAAAACTGTAAGTCCGATTGCTTTGATACTATACATATTGTTCTTTTTCTAATGATGTCTTCAGTTCTTTAATTGAAATGTGCATTGCTAACAGCGGAGCTATCTCAGCCGATAGGCTGCTTGTTTAACCTTAACTATACAAATGTGCTGTATTAGTTCATGATCCTTGACACAATCTGATGTCGTTTCAAATATCGAAATCAGCCATATCTGAGTGATATCAAAAATATACTTAGTTTAATTCATGGCACAGTGAGTCATTTTGTTCATTGGTGTTCACTAGAAAAAATGCTGCTCCATGGGCAGCTCAAGTATTGACAACATTGCAGTGCCAGTAAAACAGTTTTCAGCCAAATCACACCGAAGGCCAAATTGGCAAATTTACCTTCATGCAAAGCAATACCTCATTGTATGACTTGATTTTGACTTAAAATTAAGACAACTACAACGTAAGCAAAACATGTAAACACTATGAAATTTTGCGTTTTTTTAACCCTGATGCGTATCAAAACTAGTCTACCAACTCATAAACATCCAGTTCCTGCCATGTAAAGATTAATATCGGGAATTATGTTCATCTTCTAGTTTTAATATGGGAAAAAAAAGCGTGTACCAATATGCTGACATCGCTAATAAATCTTGTCAAAATGGTATCGTTCATGTTAAAGTGGTCGATCGTAAAACATGATATTTCTGAATCTTAGGGGTTCATAACAATTCAAGTCAACTATACAACAACTACTGACTTTATTCGATACACCAGCATAAAACAATGCTTCATTTTTTGTATATAAATGAATTTTTGTCAACACTGAATAGCGTACTTTGTCATTTCAAAACGTCGCCATTTGCATTTACGATCGAAAACATCCATAAAAATCGCCCAATTTAACATTAATAAAATGCAGTGTGACAAATAACAAATCAGCCCACCAATTTTTAGTTACTGTAGAATACTTTATTTTCGCTTGGAATTATTTTCGCCATTTTCGCTGAAGGGATGATTCAAAAATTAGTGAAAATAAATTCCATACAAAACGCCCAAAAAGCCTTTTCAGCGAAAATTAATTCCAGCGAAAATAAAGTATTCCACAGTATATGTTTCGATCATAAAATGTCAAATTCAAAGACAAATATTGGTGTCG